ATTTTGAGTAGTTTGGAGAACCAGCAAATACCACCTCTTGCTGGCCCCAGAGTGGGGTGGGAATGGGGATTTTGCAATATCCTTCCCTCAGGAGTGGGGAGAGAATAGGGATTTGCAGTATCCTTCCCCTGCCATGCCCACCAAGCCAACCCCCCCCCCAAAAAAAAATCTTGCTGGGTTTACTAGCCTTGAAAACAACATCAGGAACTTTCCTTGATGACTAGGTCTTCTCATCATATCAGGTAGACAAACTGGTCAAGATTAGCATGTAAGAAGGACCATAAAGAGTTTCCTCAAATGGAAAGCTATACATGGAATTCAACAAAAGATTTAGTTCTGAATCTTTTCGAGCTTATAAATTCATGAACGTTGCTGTCCCTTGGAACAAACCACTGCCCAAATGCAAAAAAGAAAAAAGAAAAGAAAAGAAAGAGGCTGTTTTGAGCATTTTGGCTATGTTTTTACATGGGAAACAGCTCTGTTTCTAGTGTGAAACACACTGTTTGGTGCTTGAATTTCTTCCCAAATGCTCAAAGCAGTCGATTTTGCATTCAGAACGGTAGTCTCTCCCCTCTCCCATAAAAGTCAAGTTGCATGGGTTAAAGTTCTGCCTGATAACAGTCACACACCTACTAGCCAGAGAGGACAGAATCACAGTTAAACATAAAAATGTTTATATTTCATCATCCCATGGTAGATTTATTAAGTGGTGAGTATATCATTGCCTTATGCTCCCTGGTGTCTATTTAATTTAGCAGTGAGGAAAGCTATTGCATTATTCCATCTGCTTCTACAGTTCTTTAGGCTGATGTCAAGCTGACAGTCTTGTGTGGTGAAGGCAGTTAAAGGCTGCCGCTGAGTTGACAAGCTGAGACTTTTTGAGCTTCTCTTTTTCCTTTCCAGAGAAGCCTGCACTGCTTTTAATCTGGATGAATTAATCCAGATTAAAAATTCTAGAACCAACCTTACACTTGTTCACATCCTGAGTCAATATCAAAACAATAGGTCCCACTCAATTGTGACATAAAATTAAATCATCATCATCTTCTTTTAAAGACCCCGTAATCCCTTGCAGACTAGAGTCTTGGGCAACTGAATGGAGCTGAGTGTTTACTGTCTGGATGCCCTTCCTGTCACCAATGTGGAGATTTTTTCAGTAGATATATTCTCATTGTGCCCAGAGAGAGAACTATCTGCCTCTACCTAGGATTGAACTCACAGCCTCCTGATTGTGAGGTGAGAGCTCCACTTCTAGGCTGCCACACCACTCTGTGACATAAAATTAAATATAAATTGAAATCACATACAGGAGAATAGCACCCTTTGGGCGCCAATGAATTCCTGCATTGCTCCGTTGTATAGTTTAATCTAGTTTATTTCAGTTTATTATTAAGAAACTTATTTGGTTAGTAGGGTTTTTTTTTTTTTTTTGTAGAAATCTATATGCAAGGAGAGATGATCCACAAAAGAAACCCACTAAAAATAAACATTCTAAAAGAACAAAAAAAACATAGTAAGGTTTGGGATGAATTATTACAATTAGCTTTTAATACATGTCATCTTTATAAAATTATAAAGCAAAAAACGCCCCTTTGAATGTAAATACGCAAAACAGAAAATATAAAATTAAAAGGGCTATAGAGGGAAATTCCTGATGAAAACGAAACAGAGCAAAATGAAGCAATAGAAGAATTTTATCATTCAAAACCCCTCTGTTTTAGAAGTGAAGGAGCCATGCTGTTTTGCAAAGCAGCTTTCTGGGGGTGCTTAAAAGATAAGTGCCCTTATAAACGCTCCAGGGATAACAGTTCTTGCTCATTCTTCCCTCACCCATATCAATGTGTGTGACATGTAACATAGGAAGCTAAAGCTTTGTTCAGAGAAGTAATTCACACAGTCCACAGAGATAACCTATTTGCCACCAAACAAATATTCACAAGTGGGGGCTCTGGCATATTCTGCCTGAAAGGCACAACTGAGTAAATAGTACATTTCTTTTTTCCTGTTTAGACATCCAAACAAATCTTTAGCGGTATCAAGTATAGGGGGTCCTTGGTTAATGACAACTCGTTCAGTGACTGCTCGAATTAATGACAGCATTGAACAAGGTCCAGCTGTCGTAGGACCTTGTAGTCATGTGAATGTGTCAGTGTATAAGAGTTCATGAATTGGAATAGACATGGTAACAGGTCAGCCAATGGGGACTGTTTGATGACTCAGACAGTTTGGAGCCTGGGCATGGCTTAACTTGACCATTATGTATAAAACAGTTTGTTTGTCCTTGCATTATTGCTTCTATGATTATATAGATTCTGTGCTTCTGGATTCTGAGTTCTGGTTCTGGCTTCTACTGCATGGGTATTGTATACATGCATCATGCTTTATATTACTGTATATAAAGAAATTTCTTTTATACATGAATCCTGCTGAATTATTTACTTGTGTGCTGGTTGGATTGCTGCAAACTCTAACAGAATGCTATCCTGGCACTTGCCAACCAGCTTGGATTTTTGACCATTACAAGATCCCATGGTCGCATGGTCGTGATTTGCAACCTTCCCTACTGTTTTCCCACAAGCAAAAGCAATGGGGAAGTTGGCAGGAAGAGCAGTTTTGGTTACATGAAGTCTTCGCTTAATGATCTGTGGAAATTTGCTTAGTGATGGTAACTGAGGATTGCTAGAACTGGCAGTGCTAGGCGCCGAGATCATAAGACATCATGCAATTGCAGCAACCATTAATGGTTGTTAAGGAAGGATGCCTGTTATGTGACCTTGGGCTAAGAAATAGGTACCATAGAGTAAACAAAACAGAACGGAAAAGGAAGGGACTGTTTCCAATCCACAGAACATAATCATTCCACTTTATTCAGACTCTCTTCGGATTGCTATGTCCAGAATTTTAATAAACAATTTGGAACACTTTCTACAAAGGCCTGTGAAGATGGTCAGTGATATGGAAAGCATCCAGAAGAATAAAATACTCTTAGCTTGAGAAAGGGGAAATGATACAACAAGCATCATCAAACACAAGTTGGATACAATGCTCTTTGGTGCTCCAGAGGCCAGACTAAAAGTGGAGAGTAGATTATATTTGGTGAAACTTCTTAAAAGGAAGAGTTGTTTGCAATGGTACTTGTTTGCTGGGATTTTTAACCCAAAGTTATATTACTGGGGAGGCTTTAGCTCTAAATTTACTGGATCCAGCAGGAAATGGAACTAAGTACTTTACCTGAGACCTCCACCTTTATAATATATGAGTCTAAATGTCTTTGGAGATTCTCAGTCATCCAGGTCATGATTGTCCCAAAGGTGCTTTGTTCAAGAGGAAACTGGTTGGGGTTTTTTTGATGACATTTTGCTTCTCATCCAAGAAGCTTCTTCAGCATCTTCAAAGCTGAAGAAGCTTCTTGAATGAGAAGCGAAACGTCTTCAAAGAAAAACCAGACAGTCCAGTTGCCTCTTGAATAAAGCACCTTTGGGACATACGAGTCTATAATTGTAACCTGCAGGCTGCACATTCTTGACTTTCCACACCAGGGGGTGCTTTCAGGTTCTTGCTAAGAATGCACCCAGCTTAACCATTCTGGAGACCAACAGCTTGGAATTGAAGCAGTAGCTCCTTTATTCCTTTTCTTTAACAGAGCTATGCAAATATCTGTGGATCTGCTTTGTGTCAACACATGTTTGAATGATGATGAACCCCCTGGAGGTTGCTTTGCAAAACAAGATTGCTCCCTACTTCCAAGGGAAGTGCCAGGAAAGGCCTCGGATGAAAGCCGCTTCCAAGTAAGCATCAGAGGATGAGACAAATCCAAATCACCCTACATGAACATAGTGAAGTTTCCTCTTGGCAAGAGTCATTATTTATGGGAGACCAATCTCTACTGTTGTTCCCAGGGCTATATATCATTCAAAGCATAGCCTTGGAGGAGTGCTGAACTGTGGACAGGGAGAGGAATTAAAATTCCCCAAGCATAGGAAGCCCTGGGGGCACAGTGATTAGAAAGTAGTGTCGCAGGCAAACTCTGCCCACAGCCTGGAATTCGACCCTGACCAGCTCAAGATTGACTCAGCCTTCTATCCTTCCAAGGTCAGTAAAATGAAGGCCCAGCCTCTTGGGGGCAATATGCTGACACTGTAAACCATTCAGAGAGTGTTGTAAAAGCACTATGGGACAGTATATAAATCTAAGTGCTATTGCTAGAGGGCAGGGCCTGCCAGAGACAAGTATGGTAAGTAATGACTTATCAAGGTTGAATCTATCCACCTGGGAAGTTTACCTCAAGTGGAACTGCTGAGAGTAATCCCCCCAACCATATCTATAGACTAGTTGGCAGCCTATCCATTGAGGGTCTCAAGTGCTGGAATTTACCACTGGCAGAAGTTTGTGAAGACCTTTTGGTCCAGATGTTTCATAAAGCAGTTGAAACAATGATTCTTCCTGGCTTTTAACCTGTTTTTGTTGGATCCACTGGAGTTGTTCATGTTGTTTTATATGTTTGTTCTACTGTCCAGAGTTTCAAAACTGGGGCAGGCCACAGAAAACTTCAATCAATCGATCAATCAATCAATCAATCATTAGTGGGAAGTTCAATGATAGCAGGATGCATTCGAATATCTGAGACACCTGAAATCGAGATGCTGTGGAGAAACGAGGAGAACCTATCACTTCCTACTTCTCTGCAATATATATGTATGTGTGTGTGTGTGTGTGTGTGTGTGTGTGTGTGTGTGTGTGTGTGCAGCATTGGTATAAAAATGATATCTTTCACCTTTAATGTTTTAAAGATATCGGGATCTGCAACATGCAATGGAGGAGCCGGGAGATGAGAGGCAAGATGGCAAATGCAGCTTCAAGATGCTGTGCTTGCCGTTTTGCCTTTTTGGACATCTCTTTCATCCCATCCTCATGGACACTATTGGTTGGATGGATTGACAAATAGGAAAGTGTTAACTGGTAACAAAATGAATTCCCCACCCTCCCCCCAACCTCCTTACCGATGACAGGTTTTCTTCTCTTCTCCGTCCTTGGCTGGGCCGATTGATGAAGGACCTTGCAGAAAGTTTGTAGTGATTCAGCAGGCACGTGATGACAACCACCATAACCATCATGACCACCACAATTATGATTATCTGTACAAACTCTAATTCCGCTATAAAAGAGAGACAAAGAGAAAGATTGTATTTTAATAGGGCCTCGATATAAACCAGAAACAGATAAATAAGAGCAAAGGAAGAATTCTGAGGACAACAGCAGATGTTGACAACAATTAGTCATAAGAACTAGCACCTCACTATTATTTTCCCTTTGTGTGGCATGCCTTTTTTCAAGTGTAAGCTTGAGAATCAGGAAAATCTCTTTACTGTCCATTAACTATTCAGGGAAGCCACCTGAGTGAAGAGCGAGAGGTAGATGCTTTATATAAGGGACAAAGCAATAATTTCTTTCTGTTGTCACAAAACAAAAGGAGAGACACATGACTTAAAAAGGGTTTGCAGTATACTGAACAAAAAGGATTTGAAAATGGCTTTTATACACTTAACTTTCTCTACCTCCCCTTAACTTAAGAGATCTTATGCAAAAGGAACATGAGACAATATTCATGTTCAAAGACACACACTGATTACTTGAATCTTCCAAAGTATGAAAGATTAATCAAGTAAGACAACTCCTCCTGGGAAAATAACATTAATAATAAATGATAACAAATAATAATAAAGCTTACATCCTACGACAATACCAACAAACCCCAACCTAAGTCTTTGCAAAGGACTCGATAGGTGGATAAAAATGCCATATCCAGTCTAAACACTTGGTTGACTGTGTGACGACTCATCATTATCATCCTAATGCCAGCAAGGAAAAGCACTGCATAATCAATTTCTGCAAAGACTGAAGGGAAAGTGGACAAAGATAAAATCTGGCAATGACCTACAACTGGAACATTAAAAAAAGAAACTGAAGGCTTGATTTTGACTGCTCAAGAGCAAACTATGGCAAAGTATTGCAATCAAGGCCAGAACTGAAAAATCATCAAATGATACAAAGTGCATATTGTGTAAAGAAGCAGAAGAAACAGTAAATCATATACTCAGTTTATGCAAGAAGATTGGACAAACTGATTATAAACAGTAACATAACACAAATGCCAAATTAATCACTAGGACAGCTGTAAAAACTATCATATGCCAGTAAGGAACAATTGATGGGAACACAGATTTTAAAAAGTAGTTAAAATCAACTGAAAGTGTGGCTAATTGATGTGGCAATATGAGAAGATAGTAGAAGACAAAGAACCAGAAAAGATCACAAAATCTGAAAATTGAAGTTGAAAGATTATGGCATAAACTGGCCATGGGAGTCCATTGCCAGTTATCAGTTATTAGCAAATTATCAGTTATCAGAAAACTGGATGGCATATAAGCAAAATTGGACAGCATTTCCAAAATCTGTGCATTGACAAAATTTTCATCCGTCAATTACGAGACCCCACTGCTTGGATCTGCACTATACTACAGCGATGAAACGTGACAACCTAGATTCTTGGAAAAAACTTGATGCGTTTGAAACCAATACCAGCTAAAGAACTGACAGGTGTGATTTCACATGTTGTGTATATAATAATAATAATCCTCATTGACAAATTCACCACCAGTCAATTGCAAAAGGCAGCTTTATTAGGAACAGCTTACATCCTGTGATCATATCTGTAACACAATCAAACCGTATCCCAAGTCAATTGGAAGGACTCGATAAGTGGACAAAAGTGCAAAATCCAGTCTGAACATCTGGCTATTATTAATATTATTATAAGTAGTCTTTGACTTATGACCACAGCTGGGAACAAATTTCATAAGTTGTTGTGGTCCTAAATTGAGGCACCACATGACCCCACTGTTTTTATAGTGATCATTAAGCAAATCACATGGTTGTTAAGTGAACTATATGGTTGTAAGCGTGAACCCATTTTATCCAATTAACACTTTTGCCAGCTTTTACTAGAAAATGGCAAAAGCTATTGGAAAGCATGATAACATGATTGCAGATGCTGCAACCAGTCCTGAGTGGGAGCCAGTTGCCAAATCTTCATCATGGGATCACAGGGTTGAAGTGGCAGTCATCGCTTCAAGGAGGAGTCATAAATAACATTTTTCTTTTAGTCCATCCTAACTCTCAATGCTCATTAAACAACCTGTCATAAATTGAGGACTACTTGTAATACAAAATCGCCATCAGCCATTGCAAAAGCTACCTTTATTTGGAACAGCTTACATCTGTGATTTAAAAACCTTTCATATTATTAAATAGCAACATCTGCCTATTTCTCTTTGGGAAGGACTCAATACATCATGGGTGTCAAACTCGCCGTGTCACGTTGCCATCACATGACATATCATGATTTCCCCCCCCCCTTCACGGAGCTGGGGTGTGCATGATACATGACACATCATCACCGAAATTATTGATCACTGATTCTCAATCAGAAAAAAAAAACCCATCTAACATGTAACACTAAACATACAGTGTTTAAAAAGTACTACCTGGAATATCAACTTCAAATTGGCAATTAAAAAATACCTCCCCTTCCCCCACCCCACCCCCCAAAATATCACAGTCACTTTTGCAGTGAATAAATCAAGGCAACCTAGTGGAAGTGAGTAAGGTAGAAGTTGGAAGTGTGAGAATTTTTGCATTTACCAAACAAAAGTTGTCATCTATTACTAAAAGGGAAGCCCACAGTTTAATCTGAAAGTGAAAGGGAGGCTAATTCCCCCCTCTCAAATTTATTACAGGATTATCTAAAATTCAGGGGAGGGGATTTTTTTAATTCTGACATTCTTCCTTTGGGATAAATACAGTATTATCCTCTCACTTATTCAAAGACGGCCTTAAAAATGCATGGGCATTTGACTCTTTTTTAACCCAACTGTCCATGGCCAACCTATTGCACCCACCTTCTTTTCTCTATGCTTCAAGAGAGTCCTTCCAGATAGTCAACTGCAGCATTTACATGGCACCAATCTACTGAGTGACAACAGCCTGGCCAATGGAAAGCCCCCTCCCTCCCCCTCTCCCCCCCTCCTGGGCGTTTGCCCACCACTGAAACTTCAGCCGCCGCTTCCAAGCTGATCCCCAGGGGTCTCCGCATGCCAGACTTCCAGACGTAATTTAATTCAAGGCTCAGTTCAGCCAGCTGGCAGAGGCAGCTTGAATGACCTGAGCTGGCACAAAAGTGTCTCGCAAAGGGAGGCAGGAGGAGAGGAAGATGTACAAAGCTGTCAAGGAAACGAGAGCAATCGACAACAGGCTACTCAGAGTTTGAGGGAGAAGGGAAGACACACAAGCCTTACGCAGAAATAAGTCCCTGAGTTTTCCATTACAAATGCAGAAGGGCAAAAGCAGATGCCAGAGATATCCATATCTGGCAGGTTTAGTCCAGGGAGGGAGCTGCCTCAATCAAGCTCTCTGTCCTTCTAAGGACCAAGACTCTGTGAAGCCCAGCAGATGCTATATGGTTCTCCAAGTAGAATGGAGCAATTGCTCTTTCCCTTGTAGATGGCAGGTTGAAGGGAGCTAATAAGGGCCCATATCTTAATTGGTCTCATGTTTGGTGCAGATCAATATTTCTCAAAATTGGCAACAAGGCCAGCTGGCTGGCTGTGGAATTTCTTCAACTCCACACGTCTTAAATTGCCAAATGTGAGACGCACTGGTGTAGATGAAGTGTAATAGGAAAGCTGTACATATTTTGAATACTTGGGTTTCTTTAAAACAATAATGACATTTTAAGAGTTGTTATCCAATGAGCAGTGTGCGGCTTCGTATTCTGTACTGGAGATCGGTAGAGGCAGGTCCAGGAGTGGGCTGCTGGGGGTTTGGGAGAACCTCTAGCTAAGATTCTGTGCAGTTCGGAGAACCCCCAAATCCCACTCCTGGCTGGCCCCTCCCACCCCACCCCTCCCAGGAGTCCCCACCTGGCCTGTTTTGGATGCAGGTAAGTGCAGGGTGCGTGTGGAGGCTTGGGGAGGGTGAAAAACAGGCCTACCAGAAGTTCAGGATGGCCTCTGGAGCCTGGGGAGGCCATTTTTGCCCTCCCAGAGGCTCGAGGAAAGCCTCTGGAGCCTGGAGAGGATGTTTTCGCCCTCCCAGAGGCTCAAGTAAAGCCTCCAGAGCCTAGGGAGGGCAAAAATGCCCCCCCGCCATGGTGCAGGAGGGCTACTAGGCCACACCCACCATGGCCATGCCCACCCAGCAACTGGGCAGAGAACCCCTTGCTAAAATTTTTGAAGCCCACCCCTGGGCAGATCCATGTTAGTGAGACAAGAGAGTTCATACTGTACACATGGCACAGATAGCTCTATTCTTAAATAAATGCTTCCATATGCACTGGGTAAGCCAGACTTGGCATATGATTGTGAGTGCCTGCAATGCGTGTCTTTAAATTTTTATCCCTTGCCTGTTTTGTTCCAGCCCCATATCCCTGGACGATGACCTCCCCTGTGATCAGCAGGCTGGCTATTTTAAGACTGGACATGGACTTCAGCCCCGCTGGCCTCCCTTTTCCGGTGGTCTCTCCTCATATCAACAAAACAGCAGGCTACTTCTCCTCCTATCACCTGGCTGAGTGCAGGGTTTCCCCTGGCTGCTGCATTCTTCACAACAGCTGCCACAATTAGCAAGGTAGAGCAACTGACATTTCACTCCCCTGCATTTAGAAGGCCTGTGAACATGTTGTGACATCACTGCCTTCCCTCAAGGCCTGGGAGGGCAAAATTATTTCTCTATCCTGAAAATGACACAGAACTTGCACTGGAGTTTACTGGGTTGATCTGCGGACAAACTGCTTTCAGCCACCCCTAGTTTCCAGCCTAGTTTATCTCCAAGAACAAACAATGTTGAAAATTGCTTCTAAAATCCTAGCGGTTCAGGGCCAATAAAAGCAAAGGAGAGACTGGGCAAATAGTCTACACCTGCTTGTAACTGTGGAGCAGCCAGTCCTGCCAGTTTAAAGCACCTACAGATCTACAGCAAGCATCCCAAATAATTGTGAACCGTATATTCAGCAGTTATGGCTTTAGGATACAAAACGTCAAGATGGCAAGCACAGCTGTGCAATTTAAGCCCCGCCCCTTTTTAAAAAATGCATGATGT